TTTACGAGGTATTAAAAAAAAACTACTAACTAGATCTCGTTCAAAACAATTTTCGTTGGTAGTTTTTATAGTAATGTACATCATATTATGTTTTTTTTACGTTTTTCATTTTCTTATTTTAGAAGTTAGAGGGGGGGGACCAACTTTTTTCCACTTTGGAAGCGTCTGTCACGCAAACTATTCGGTTTAGAAAAAAAAGTATTTTAGAAACCTCGATATCATTTTTAAAGACCTATCCATAGATACCACACACGTATGTGTTTGATGAAAAAAAAAAATTTTGAGTTTCAGTTCTAAGTATGGGGAGCCCCCAATATTTACTATTTTTTTTTTATTTTTGCATCAAAATCTTAATGCGGTTCACAGAATACATCTACTTACCAAGATTCAACAGTATAGCTCTTATAGTTTCGGAAAAAAAATGGCTGTGACATACGGACGGACAGACGGACGGACAGACAGACATGACGAATCTATAAGGGTTCCGTTTTTTGCCACGGAACCCTAAAAATGTAATTGAGTCTTTTTTTTTAGTGTAAGAAATTCTTTAACAAAAAGCCTAGTTTAGTACGATTTACTACTTCTAAAATAGAGTAGCTAGCTTAGCTATCCCAACCCGTCTGGTCAGTGTGGGAAGTGTGGCTCATTGTCATTCCTCTCTTTACCTTTAATAAATTAGAGAGAGCCGTTGCTCCTGAAGTGGAAACTAAATGACTGGTAATGATGATGATGAAGCTAACCCAAAAGGCATTAGCTCAATAAAAACACAGTTACAGTAATCAATATCAATCCTTCCATCCACCCGATCCCACTTTATATTTAACACACAGGTCAAATGTCTGGAGCCCTTATTATCTGGACCAGCTCAATTGGTCCCTCAACACAGCCGCTTCTCTTGTGCTCAGAGGTCAGCTGATACAGGACACCTTTGACCGAGTTACGTTGAAGATAAGTTAACGAGCATTTATGTTTTGTTAAAGGGTAATGCTCGGTTATCTGACCCTGATTTAGGCGCCAGGGAATAGGTTGTAATGACCATTTTAATGACAAATAGAGTAATAAGTTTGTTAGCAACAAGATGAGACAATAAGCTCTTTATTAAGTACTTTATACATTCTTGGAAACTTGACTCGTACTGCTGTGTATTACTACAGGTTACTTTCTAAAGTACAGTCACTTTTTTGTTATTCCGAGCATTTTTTGCAGGCTTTATTTTGCAGTTAAGCTGTAGTAGATCCAGGTTACACTACACAGAAGTTGCATCGAGGGAAATAATAATTTAGGAATTGAGATCGAGAAGCAAGAATAAGTAGTTAGTTCAGTTTTGATTACTTGAGTTAGAAATGAAGATCACTGTCAGCAGTATTCAAAATATTGGTATATAAAAGAGAAACTGAATTTAAAAAATCCCTAACCAGTAACCAGGGATGTTTTAAATTCAGTTTCTCTTTTACCAATATTTTGAACACTGCTGACAGTGAACTTTATCATCCTAAAATTATAAAGGATTGTCTAAAACCGCAGGCTTTTCGTAAGTCACGGTGGTCTAACGGTTCTAAAAATAGCGAGGATTGCGTTAATAATTAGCGGATACCGGTCAGGGACCAACGGTACTTAGCTCTAGTGCTGGCTGACAATACTGGTTGAAGCTGGGCGTTTTCCCACATCTATAAGCCTAGCATCAGAACTATAGACTATTTGTCGACCGATGGTTGGGTCATGTATAAAAGTGTGCACATTAGATCGGTCAATTCTTCATACAAATTATAATTGGCAGTTGGCCCAAGTATCGACCGATTGACTGTGGTAATGAAGGCTTTGTCCGGAATCCTACAGTTCCTTCCCACTTAAGGCGAATGACAGAGCACCGGGCACCGGGGGTCGTTTTAGTGGGTATGCCTTTGTCCTTCTGACTTGGTGAGCCCCACATAACCTACCCTGTCCCCGCAGGTCGTCTACTCCCAATTAAGCGAAGGACGAAGGACAAGCTTCGTATTTTACAAGTGTTCAGTTATTAATGGAAAAGATGATGTTAACACATGGAATTTTAAATGCACGGACAAGCCATTGCTTAAGCCATCATCGTGGGTGGTCAATGGAATGTAATCACATAATCAGACTTTGTTTACTAATCGTTTATTGTAAATGGATAGCTGTAGATCTCTCACGTTACCATCCTTTTACAAACGTCAGTAAGTTTAAAAAGCTGTAAGTAGTCCAGTAACTTCAAAATCCTATTTTCAAACACGTTTTTGGCTAAACTTTAGGTACTTAGGCTCGAAATTTGGTCAAGTACGAATTGACCTTACGCGACAATAGGAAGCAACCTTCAATTTAAATTATTACAGGAGTGAATCGGATGGATTTTCACATCAAGGCTTTGATTCACGGCACACAATAGGTCTGAATATCTAAATTACAGAGGGCCTTCCACTGTAGGTACTTAGTAACCTGGTAACCTTACCAGGATTTTAACGTAAGTTATCCTCAACCTTGGAGGCTGCAAGGTTTTCACAACAAAATCTTTGATGCCTGGCGGTTTTGTCGTTCGGTACTAATGCCCGAATTCATTACTATGAGATCTCACAGTGCGCGTGGACGCATAGAGTAACACACGAACCAATCACAGAGCTCTATTCATCGCTGTGCGTTTGATTTTCTGCTTCACTTAAGCAAGTATCGTTTGTGAATACGGGCGTACTTTAGTGGATCCTGATGATTAATGTGTAGATTTGTGGTTTATTTTCTCTCATTACTTTTTTAAACTGGATTTATACCATGATTGAAGATGCAAGCCGTTTAGCATCGTGTACCTAGTGTATGCTATCGTCTTCGGCGATATCTAAACTCATTAAATAGGGGGAGTCCCAATAACCCATTAGCTGACCTCGTAGATATTATTAGCAACAAGTTTTCACAAGCTAAAAAAGGATAGCCAATTTTAACAACTTGTTTTTCTAAACTGAGGATGTGGATATCCCCTAAAAACATAATCACGCCAATTTTAATGTTCTTGTTTTTTACATAAACATTTATTAAGCTTGAGAAAATAATGTCAATATTAATAAGCAATGTTGAAACATGTCGTTATGGTCATTAAACTAAATAATTAAATTAAGCCATTCACAGCGGGTTCGTTACGAACGATAAAAACGTTGAGAGTAATGAAGGAAATCGTTAGTTTTTTAATGTTTTTTTAAGTAGTGGAAGACCATGTCTTTCAAAGCATCCAATTATCTTGGTGTAAGAAAGAGTAAGTCATCGTAACTAATGTCAAAGTATGATAAAAAAAACTGTATAGCTTCAAGAGCCAAGAAGATCGTTTCATTAAAACTAGCAGTTTACGAAAGCTCGTACTTATTGTTTTAGTTGATAAAAAAAAATACAAATAATCACAGAGGAGATTAGTTGGTAAATAAATTTCCGTGTATCATTTGCTTATTGAGATTGAAAGATTGTTTTCCTATTTTTTTCATTTGTTTCGTAGTTTTTTATTGTTTGTTATGCCCCAACATATTTTCCTTATCTTTATTTATTTTGTAAAACATTTAAAGGACTTTTATATAAGTAGGTTTACGTTAATCTTGCGATCTGCTTGCCTGTTATGGACAGACGCATTGAGTTAAACGTATAAGGGCTTAGTCATAATATAAGAAGTAGGTATCAGAATGAAGTCCGTAAGTAGTATCGTGCTCATAACTTAAATAGCCAATTCAAACAATTTGCTCGAGAGGACAAGGATAATTGTAATCTTGACAGGCTAAAGTGACCAATTAGGAACAGCGCGTTTCTTAAATAATTGAGGTATAATCCTTTGTAGTAGGTATAAGGCTAGCAATAGCTATCCTTTGAGGTATTAACAGTTAATAGTGACTATTAAGCCATTTAATAACAAATAGTAGATGCAGGTGTGGCACTTGATGGATTCAACTTCCTATATCGTTGTTTATTAGGCGCAACAAAATTCTATTAGATGTGAGAGACACAATATGATGTGATGAAAAATATTTGTATTTTTTTAAAGGAGACATTTAGAAATATATTTTTTAAATACTATTAGTTAATGGTTAACTCACCCTTAGGGCACTCGGGTTTGATCAAGTATCGATAGATTCAAATTCAAATTCAAAACGTTTATTGCATGTCACATTACAATTTATATGTCGTTGCAAAATAGATTTATTTTTTCTCTAAATTATTATGTCAAATTCTTGTTGTTTTTTTTTTATTTTTTTTTTTATTTGATAGGAGGCAAACGAGCAGACGGATCACCTGATGGTAAGTGATTACCGTTTGTTTGTTTGTTGTCGTGCGTTATTATTATTTTGTCTGTAAAATATATTTTTCTTTTCTATTTTCTCTCAGATTAGAATTGTTAATTCGATATTTTTTAAATTAATTTAATAAAATCGAGTGCGAGAGAGCTCTTTGCATAGAGATCGCTCACTCGAGCAAGACCAAATTAATAAAACGGAATCTCATCAACATCACGCACTGAAAATATTGATAGCTCACGTAAAATTAATTAATATGCGTTTCTAAGACTTTTTACGACAAAATTAGACGCTCTACTGAGCAGTTTCTTAGATTTCTAGAGATCTATGATGTGAGTCAATCAATTTGCTTTCAAGGCTTATCGATTTAATGCAAAATTGAGAGATCGTTTAGTAACTATAAATCTTTATAGCATGATTTATGTGTTGATTACGAAATGTTTATGTAACTTGTGGTAACTATAAGGCAATGCGTACGTAGTAACTAAATTAATTTTCAACGACAAAATCTATTGGTAATGTGCTTAAAAAGTGAAAAAACTTTTTTTATTTACAATTTAATTAAAAAATACATCATTTTTTTAAGTTAAACTTTTGATACCAATCTATTTACCTACTTCCTTTGATCTCAATCCAGTATTAATTACTCCATTTACATATTAACAATCAAGAGACCGGTTCCAATCAAAACGATCTCACGGACAATAAATAAAAAAACTTACTTACCTCGTTGCACGGGTCGACTTCGCAAAAAAGCGTAGGGCCAACCTTGAAATACGAAAAAACTTGACACTTACTTTTTTTTCGACAAGCGCGCGCACGGACGAAACCTCTTTCGCGACTGGCTCATGAGAAAAGCAAGACTTGTAATCTGTGCCCACTACTGGTTGGAATCCGGGTCAGTTGAAGAGTCGGTGGTGTTTGTGTTTAACAATCGAGTTAGAGTGCTTTTGCATTTTGTTGCGGTGGCAGTTAGTTTACTCATTGTGTAGATAAGGGCCTCGTTACACTAGTAGCTGTGGCAAGATAGTAGTTTGTAGTTTATGTACTTGCTTAATGTTACCTACTCATTAGCGAACGACGAGCGATACTCGACTGTTCACTTTCCCGCCAAGTAGGTAGTAGGTAATTATTGTAGTTTGTTAATTAAATTCCTTAAAATGCTTTCTAGCACCGCCAAACGATTTTTTTCTGCTTAGGGAAACGGTTAGCGTTACCGCTGACCTTTATCTTAGATCTAAATTCTAATTTAATTACTATTATCTACCTAAATAAATAAACTAAAATAATAAAATATCTAAATCTACGTAAGCTACCTAACTAAATAACTTAATTAAGTAATTCATATTATTCTACACTAATAAAATAAATAAAATAATAAATCTACAAGCAAACCCGCGCGAAACAAGTTGTTAAATACAGTAGAATCCCGATTATCCGGATCAATTAAAACCAGGGGTGTTCCGGATAATCGAAAATCCGGATAATCGATTTCAAAGTAAAATCAAACAATAATTAACTTTTTACAATAGAAAGGGTTTTCAATACATCATTTTAGAGTCTAAAAATCTAAATTTTAGACAATTGGTCATCCATTTCTTTTAACAATGAACTAAGAAGACGTCCGCCTTCGGTTTTTATGGGTCCAGACCCTGAATCGGTAATTAAAAACCGTGAAGAATGAGTCCGGATAATCGGATATCCGGATAATCGAGGTCCGGATAATCGAGATTTTACTGTATTTCTTTTGTTCTCTGTCGAGCGGGCGGGCTGTTTTTTATGTATGCGCAAGCGACGCGCCTACGGCCGCGATGCTCCCGCCGCGTCTCCTAGTCCGAGCCAGAGCGTTAGCGAGCACGGACGTATCGCTGTCCGTCACCGCCGGACCCGCGATTTACGTAATGTTCTAAAAACTAAATATGTAATCGCGTATTGGTGAACCCCGCTACCGGGGTTCATCTTCACCTTTCTCCTCACTACAAATGGCCATCTCACCACTACCGAAACCACCACCTGGCTCCTCAACCCGGCAGAGCTGCCTGTCGTGTCGGACGGCCCGTACGCACACTCTAAGTGGCCCTACACCACAGTGCGTACGGTCCCTAACCGTCTGGCGCGTCGACGACCCTGCGGGCTCACCACCAGCGAGGAACCAAACCACATCACCATCAATGCTAGCGAGGACAGTGGTTTGAATATACTACCACCGGTGACGAATCTCGTGCGATACGATAGTTTGCTCGTAACCCACACCCTTAAGGTCTCTTGCTACTTAATTCTTAATAAATTATACTTGTTAACCTAAACTATCTTTTATTTCTCTAAACTTAACTATAAATTTTATTATGTCACTGCTCCTAAAGCTCTAACCGTGACAGTAAAGTGGCGGAATAATGCCTTTTTGGCATTAAGTTCGCCTTATGTTGTAACCAATTAAATGGCATACAAGCTTAAATAAAAATGGGCATTACATGACAGGAAAAAAATAATTGAAGGACCTTCACTTGTTTTCGGCTAACCAAATTAGTACAAAGAAAATACAATTTAGCGGCAATAATTTCAGATTCAAATCACGCGCGAGACACACTGTCCGTACGGTTTTTGTAGCGGGAATAGTCGTTGTTGATGGACATTTCGAAGCTTGGAAAAGAAACTAGGAGAAAACGTTTTTTTCGTGTCATTTATTTTGCAAGTAGGCATTATAAAATGCTTTTTACACGTCCCAGTATTTATTACTTTAACCAATGAAAAAAATTTCAATGCTAAAATTGTTCATGTTTTCATCCTTTGTTACCACTTTTTAAGCAGATTTTTTTTTTCTAATTCTATAAACAAAACCATGCTTCTAGAATCTTCTATTTGTTACGACAGAATTTTTAATTTGATATGGTCCTAAAAATCTTTATAAAAACTTGGTGCAAGTTATAAATAAAATCTGTCCTACATACAAACAAAAAAGCACTTTCACTTCATTGCGACATAATTATCCTGCGTGTCCCTAACAATGTAAAATAATTTTATCAACTAACTACATCTCAGATGCTATCAGTCAGTCGTGGTCGGATTTGGACGCGTAGTGACATTGTTAAAAAAATAAACCATGGGTTTCATGGTTAATGCGTGGGGGTTTCGAAACCAGAAGTCCAATGGTGAGCTGAGGAAAATTCACCTACAAAGAAAAAAGCCTTCTCCCCCCTTTTCCATAATAGCGAAAAGAAAAGCGAAAATAAATTAGGTTATGTCTTGCACCCTGTCTGTGTGACACCCAGACCGTCTGGACTCCGGAGAATTATTTTTGTCTGGTCTGTGAGCACGTAGAATTTTGTCCAATGACCCCAAGCTACCCATCCTTATTGCTCGCGCTCGCACACTCACTGCGGCCGCCCGTCGCACAGTCGCGACAGCAATATAATTACGCGCGAGCGATAAGGATGGTTAGCTTAGGACCGGGCTTTAGTTTGTAACACCCAAAATACTTACCTATTGAAAGAGTCCGCAACACATCTTTATTACAATGAGGGCTATCGTTTTAGCGCTCACCAGTTAGCGCCACTGTAGAGTAAGGTCCTGTCACTTGCTAGTAGCGAAGACGTGGCACCAACTGGTGAGCGCTAAAGTGGTAGGAGGACTATCGCATTTACACTCATCAAGATGGCGCCACTGTAGAGTAAGGTCCTGTCAATCGCCAGGGGTGCCAACTGTTAAGTATAAAAACGATAGCCCTCATTGGATTAAGGTTGTGTTGTTAAATGAACTATTTGACGCTGATATATGACATAATTACTTTTATTTATTTAATCAACTTTTAACACCAAAATAAACGCACATGTTTTACTTTATACAACTTTATTAGCCTCTAAACCGTTCCCCACACATTCTTCCTCCCTCATGACGTCCAACAACTCCTCCATAGTGACGAGTCGCGGCCCGCGTGTCTGGTAGAGACAGTGTAGCTCGTAGCGCGGCGGCGTCTCTAAGACCGCCTTGCCGCACACTATGATCGTTGGGTAGCCTAGCCTGGGGACAAAATGATATAATATTTATAATAAGAGGAGGTGAGCAAATACTGTACCAAATATAAGGAAAAACATCACACAAACCAACTTGCTAGAGAAATAGTGGAACAAACCCACAAGACCACCACAAGACTGAAAAGATGGCAAATACTACAGTTGGACCAAAGATGCTAGTGGCTTGGACTGAATATTGGAAGGCTGGACTAGATTGAAATTAACGGTTACGTGAATGAGTGAAGACCGAGGGAGAGAATTTACTGAAATACCCCTCCTTTAGAACACAAAAAAAGGAAGACAAAACATCTGATTATGACCCAAGTCGATTGCAGATATAAAAAGGAGAAAAAAAAATTTTAGTAAAAAAACACCATTAAACTTCTTGCGATCTTCACCAGATCGTCGGTCCATCTAGTGGGAGGCCTGCCCATACTACGTCTATCGGCCCGCGATAGCCACTCGAGAACTATACAGGGTGGAAACGATAAGTGTTCTCACTCAATTATTTCTAAACTACAGGATGTTAGGTAAATGGGTATATGAGCCGACACTAGCCCGTGTTAACATGGTCATATAAATGGTATGGTGAGGTCAGAAAATTAATCTTCATTTTAATTATTTTAATTTTCATACAAATCGGATTTTAGAAAATTTATTTTGTATGAAAATTAAAAAAACTGACTTCTGACCTCACCATACCATTTAAATGCCCATGTTAACATGGGCTAGTGTTGTCGGCTCATATACCCATATACCTAACACCCTGTATACAAGATATCCAACTGGGCGTTTCAAATCAAATGAATTTATCAATAGAATCATCAACAGCCCTTTACAGTCCACTGCTGGACTATGAGCCTCCTCCACTATAGTGGAGGGTTTTGCCATAATCTCCACGCTTGGCAGGCGGGTTGGAGATCGCAGTTTAAAAGATTGATGTTTTTCAGAGAGCGCTGCTGCCCGTTCTCTGTTTGATGTGTAGTCCCTCAGTCGCCTCTTACGACACCCGCGGGAAGAGTAGGGGTTGGTGACAAATGTATTCTACTCTGCCGTCACCACACGGCACATCAATAGAATAACGTGAGCTTTTTTTCACAAAGCGCCCCCTTAATTCCATTTGGCGCCAATTTTTTCAATTTGGCGCCCCTTTTTTTCAATTTGACGCCCCTTTATTTCCATTTGGCGCCCCATTTTTCCTTTTGGCGCCCCTTTTTCCAATTTGGCGCCCTTTCTTTCCATTTGGCGCCCTTTTTTTCCTTTTGGCGCCCCCTTAGACTGCCACCCGGGACAGGCGCCCCGGTTTGTCTCTCCCTAGACGCGTGTGTGTATGTGCTAGACCCGTAGTAACTATAGTCTGGTCTGTGAGCACGTAGAATTTTGTCCAATGACCCCAAGCTACCCATCCTTATCGCTCGCGTGTAATTATATTGCAGTCGCGACTGGGCGACGGGCGCCCGCAGTGAGTGTGCGAGCGCGTCAGCAACATAAATACGCGCGAGCGATAAGGATGGGTAGCTTGGGGTCATTGGACAAAATTCTACGTGCTCACAGACCGGGCTTTAGTATACATACTTATCAGCCATCATGAGCCGTTTCCCGACCGTGAGCGAGTGCCGGTCGTCTATAACAGTATCTTGAGTTTGAGCCACGCGCCGCCATAGATCTAGCACGCGCTCCTCGCCGTGGCACTGCCACTCTTTTGAGCCTTCCTGGGGATTTGGAAATAAACTGATTAATGTCATCTGTTGGCTGAGTGTGAATTTACATCAAGACCTCACTAGTGAACACGTTAAAACAATGTATGAAAATTTTAGTTCTTGAACGTTTCCGCTAGGGGCGCTGTACAATCCGTCATACATTTATTGTGATTTTTTGACGCGCTTACTAGTGAGCGCGTTTGATGTAAACCTCTCCCTTGATAGCTGAGGGCTATCGTATTTACCCTCACCAGTTGCCGCCACTGTAGAGCAAGGTTATCGGTTGTCAAAGTCAAAGTCAAAATTTCTTTATTTGTTTAGACTAATAAATAGTTCTTACAAATCGTCATAATATATGGAGCATATTATGCTCTTAAGGAGCCTCTACATGTCTCATAATCTTTTTACCCTACCAGCGCTTCGAGACCAACATTTGGCAAGTGCTGAGAAGAAGCGCCGCAACAAACTCAGTCACCACTGTCTGCCGGTTAATATAAATAAATAGAAATAGTAGTAGTAGGTACATTCGATTCAGGAGCAGTTCACTGAATTTACCATGCATTCTTGTATGGTGTATCATAAGAATGGGTATACAAGATTGCGTGGTATATTAAACAAGGTAGTGACGTGCTAATATCTAGACTTACATCGTGCTCCCACCCGTAGGCTCCCAAGCCTTGTAAAGGGTCGCCTTAACCAGCGTATCCCTGTGAAGGCTCACGAGTTGGATTCGTTAATCCTTGTTCGTCCCAGCCGTTCCTTAACTGCGGTTGCTGCACCTCTTCCTGGCACTCTCCTGAACGACTCTGTGTTACCTAATGTGGCTGCACCTCTTCCTTGTACCCTCCTGTACGATTGCATTGCTTAGCCATATGCCTGGTCCAAGGTTCGACGCCAATAATCAACAACAAAAAGTTCATATTAAAACGCTGAAGAGTTTTTTGTTTGTTTGTTTGCACGAGAACGGTTTGTTCAAAACATATAAATTTGGTCTTATTTAATTCAGGATTAAATGTCCTTCAACCGTCAGGAAGACCACTTTTCGATAGGGTAAGCCCTTTACGCGGTATAACCGGAAAACCGTAAAAACGCCCCTTTCGGGGGCCCCCACCACTTAAGCACAACTCCGTCGAAGTCGAAAACCTAGGAGAGTCTTTATGGGCAACTAATGAAGCCATTAAAGCACTAAAATCTTTTGTAGGAATTATTTCCGATTTAATTCATTTTTAGGGTTCCNGTATCATAAGAATGGGTATACAAGATTGCGTGGTATATTAAACAAGGTAGTGACGTGCTAGTATCTAGACTTACATATTAAGGTACTAGTAGAAATGACTCGCATACATAAATTTGAATAACTTGGATTGACCAGTCCCCGAAAGCAGCGCCTGTTCACAGACATGACGAGTGAATCAATGTGATGTCAATCGTAATTTTATCATTCTTTTACTTTCTTTCTTGTTTGTGTTGGTGTTTTTTTTATGTAAGACAATTTCATACAAATTAAAATATAAATTAAAAAAACCCTTTAAAATTATTCCGCTCAGCAACTAAAGACTGTGGCTAGCCAAAGAAAATTAAAATTAAATCACAACTTTCCTAAAATAACTGTTTTTGAGTTGGCGCCACTGGCGATTGATTTGTCCTTATGTGGCGCCAATTAGAGAGTGAAAATATGGTAACCCTCACCAATGTGTATATGTCACCGTAAAATTGTGAATTCCGTCAGATTATAATCTGACGTAGTTAAATTACAATCTAACCTAACCTAACCCACTGTTAGTTTACAATCTAACGCGTTATATTATAAACTGACGGAGTTCACAATTTCACGTTGACATATACAATGAGGGCTATCGTTTTAGCGCTCACCAGTTAGCGCCACTGTAGAGTAAGGTCCTGTCACTTGCTAGTAGCGAAGACAGTGGAACCAACTGGTGAGCGCTAAAGTGGTAGGAGGACTATCGCATTTGCACTCATCAAGATGGCGCCACTGTAGAGTAAGGTCCTGTCAATCGCCAGGGGTGCCAACTGTTAAGTATAAAAACGATAGCCCTCATTAAAGGTACTTTCGCTCACCAAACTTTTGTCCATGACTAGAATCGAACACGCTACCGCTGCTACTGTAGCACCAAGCTATAAAAGTTTACTTTTTAAAGTACTAGCATAGATTTTAAGTTTTTTAAGCCACATTACTAACACATTATGGATGTATACTTTGTCCGAAATAAATAATCATCATCATCATCATTTTAGCCGCAAGACGTCCACTGCTCCCCCAATGACTTCCACAACGCACGGTTGGTAGCGGCCTGCATCCAGCGCCTTCCTGCTACCTTTATGATGTCGTCGGTCCACCTTGTGGGTGGACGTCCCACGCTGCGTTTTCCGGTACGCGGCCTCCACTCCAGAACCTTGCTGCCCCATCGGCCGTCAGCTCTGCGTACTACATCGATCAACATGGAAAGCATTGGGGGAGGCCTATGTTCAGCAGTGGACGTCCTATGGCTGAGATGATGATGATGATGATGAAATGATTTATTATTAAAACACTCACTTTGGGTCCAATAATGACGGCGCTGTAGGGCGCTATGGCGCGCGGCCAGCGCATGCTCGTCTCAGTCGACAACGCCTCTAGACTCGCTGCGAGCAACCTGCAATCATTACAATCAGGGATGTTATGGATATCCGTAACCGTAACCGAAAGTTTCGGATATTCGAAATAAAAAAAAACATCCGTAACCGTAACCGGTATAATAATATTCCTATATCCGTAACCGTATCCATAACCGAAACTACATATCCATGATGTTTTATATGAATAAAAAGAGTATTCTTTGTACTTTCAGTTTATTTCTAAAGCACACGTAATACATGCCGACATTGGCCAAAAGGAAGAGAGCGATGAATCCACAGACAATATAAAGTTATGTGCATGTGGATTGAGTGATCCTTGCTTCAATCTTAACAAAAATCGAGGAAGTTTTACTTAAAATATGTTAAAACATTGCGATGAAGTTTAAAAATTTGTTAAACCTAAGATAAAAATGTTATGGCCAATAAATAGGAGCACTCATACCGCACGCTTTAAGAAAACGTCAACATGTTTATTTCAGAAAATAAAGCCTTTCCACTTCTTTTTATAGTATTGAAAAATTGTTAAGAATATGTTAAAACTATTAACAAATTCAGAAATTCCTTGCACGTCCCGTTCCAAAGTTATGACGATTATTTAGGATCACTCACACCGCACACGGGCCGTATGAGTGCTCTTCAAAATAATGACTTTTTATTAATAAATACGTTTTATTTCTGTTGGGAAATGTGTGCAAACTGACGAGCGAATTTGTTAAAGAATAAGTGTGACAAAACTTAAAAGCTGAAGGAAGAAATTAACCTTTATTCTTTCCTCCAATATGCCGTGTGAGTGATCCTTACTTTTACCTCTATCTGCTCATATGTAGTTCGTAGGCAGACTGAGATAGTATCTAAAATTGTTAATTGTTTTTAACAATTATTTGGCATATATTTTGCTTTTATTAAGGTCATAATTTAAGAAATATCAGGCTTAGATGATTCCTAAAGGAAAATGGTGATTAGGGTACGTATGATTTTTTATTTTGAGAGACTGTTTCGATTCATCAGAAGTTTACATGTGAGATTTAATAATATTATTTTATCGTATTTTATAGTCCAACAAAAAAAAACAGTTTTGTTGAGAAATTTGTAATTTATTTAAATAAAACCGTGAGTATCTTTCTCAATTCATATTACAAGTCAAATTTGAATTCAATCCTATAAACAATTGTAATGTTTCTTTATTTCTATCATTCAAGATGTAGGGGTAAACCACTAAAACTCGCGCTACTGCCGACCGCGGCGACGGACGCCCCCCGCGAGTTTTAGCGGAGGCCCCTAAACCTACTACATATTAGATTGCATTGGTTTTGCATTGTCACGTCTGACGAATCGGAACAGTCTCACAAAATAAAAAATCATATGTACCCTAATCAACATTTTCCTTTAGGAATCATCTAAGCCTGATATTTCTTAAATTATGACCTTAATAAAAGCAAAATATATGCCAAATAATTGTTAAAAACAATTAACAATTTTAGATACTATCTCAGTCTGCCTACGAACTACATATGAGCAGATAGAGGTAAAAGTAAGGATCACTCACACGGCATATTGGAGGAAAGAATAAAGGTTAATTTATTCCTTCAGCTTTTAAGTTTTGTCACACTTATTCTTTAACAAATTCGCTCGTCAGTTTGCACACATTTCCCAACAGAAATAAAACGTATTTATTAATAAAAAGTCATTATTTTGAAGAGCACTCATACGGCCCGTGTGCGGTGTGAGTGATCCTAAATAATCGTTATAACTTTGGAACGGGACGTGCAAGGAATTTCTGAATTTGTTAATAGTTTTAACATATTCTTAACAATTTTTCAATACTATAAAAAGAAGTGGAAAGGCTTTATTTTCTGAAATAAACATGTTGACGTTTTCTTAAAGCGTGCGGTATGAGTGCTCCTATTTATTGGCCATAACATTTTTATCTTAGGTTTAACAAATTTTTAAACTTCATCGCAATGTTTTAACATATTTTAAGTAAAACTTCCTCGATTTTTGTTAAGATTGAAGCAAGGATCACTCAATCCACATGCACATTATAAAGTTATGTCAAATACCAAAGATATTATAAAGCATGTATCGAGTATACAACACATGACATCCCTATTTACAATCATATAAGTTATTCATTTGAGCAGAACTGACGGCCGATGGGGCAGTAAGGTTCTGGAGTGGAGGCCGCGTACCGGAAAGCCGGACCGGTCGTCAACCTACAAGGTGGCCTGACGACATCATAAAGGTAGAGGAAGGCGCTGGACGCAGCCCGCTACCAACCGGGCAACATGTAAAGCATTGGGGGAGGCCTATGTCCAGCAGTGGATGTCCTACGGGACTATTCCCGCCTCTCGTTCCCACCGCTGCAACTCCTGTTTAGCCAGGATCTACAGCTTGACCGTCAATAACCCAACCAGTGAAGGTCAAGTTTGTCCCGGGGGAAAGTTAAATTGTCATTGGACCCGCAACGAAATTAATCAGAAGAACATAGGAGGACTTCGAAATTAAGGTTCGACTTCCCTCCATTGCAAAGCGGATGACAGGTGACAAACAAAGGTTTAATAACCTTTAAGAAAAGATATGCACTACGGACAATAAATATCAATTAAGGGGGCCTATCTTATGAGCAATTAGCAACAGTGGACGTCCTATAGCTGAGATGATGAAAAATGTCTAAAATTAAAAAAAAAACAAAAATATTTATTCAGTTTAGACCACAAGTGGCACTTATGAACGTCAAAATATAGTAAATAATAAAAAAAGAAAAGGTAGCCCTTATGGGGCACTTTACATGTCTCCTTATCTTTTGGGCCCTACCAGCGCTTCGAGACAAACATATGGCAAGTGCTGAGAAGAAACGCCGGAACAAACTCAGTCACCACTAGTTGCCAGGAATTATCTAACGGTAAGAATAACCAAATTCAAGTACATCAAATACGAGTAGGTATGTGCAGACTGAACATACCACGCATCCTTGTCATCATGTCTTACCTGGTGATTCCGATCCCATAGCACGACATGATAAGGGGCTGCGGGGCGCCGGCGGCGGGCACAAAGGTGGCTCGAAGAGGGTCACTGTATTTCGTGCCCAGGATGAATGTGTGGCCCACCTGGAGGGTCAAAATTAAAAAAAATACCTTCAAATTTGTCCCATATTTACATATAATAATATACAGTACTTTTCCCATAGTTCGTAGCTTGCCTCTCTAACTGATGTATCTGTATTTTTTTTCGAAACTGAGTTATCTACACTATCTTAATCAATTTTGCAAAACGAATCGATCTCTAATCGCCTGAACTTTTAGCTTAATGTCAGTCACGTCAGTTAGAGGCAAGCGACGAGTTTTCCACCCGCGGCTTCGCCCGCGTGGAATTTTCTCCGCTGTTTCAAAAACCGGGATAAAAGTTATCCTATGTCCTTTCCCGGGACTTATACTATATCTGTGCCAAATTTCATCAAAATCGGTTCAGCGGTTTAGGCGTGTAAGCGACACAGACAGACAGTTACTTTCGTATTTATAATATTAGTAGGGATTAAATAAGGAACAACTATTGACAGCTTCGCGATATTTTCACGTCCGAAATACCGCAGTGTATCAAGACAAAATTCTTTGACCAGTGGGCGTAGTGTGAGTTTACATCAAACGCATTCGACATCGAGTCACCAGTCATCTGTCCAGCCTTATTCACGTAACAAAACTTCAATGACAACAAATCGCTGAGTTGCGATGAGTCGAGTAATCGTTCTATCAAAATCGTTTGTTAGTCGTATACCTCGAAATCAAAAAATCCTTTTAGCTTTTCACCTATTCGCATTTCACCGTGATAGCGTTTTTTTGTTGTAGTATCGGTAGTATATTTTGTTACTAGCATATATTTTTAACAGATTTTTACAATAGTAGCAAATTTTGATGATCAAAAATTATACTACAAGAATAAAAATCTATTCAGAAATTTTGATATCGCGGCGAAATGCGAATAGGTGAAAAGCTACAAGGATTTTTTGATTTCGAGGTATACGACTAACAAACGATCAAAATGACCCTTGTGAATACGGATTGAGAACTGTTTTTCAATGGGACGACTTCTGAACGTCAGCGAGATCTTGAAATAGAAATAGAAATATTTATAGAACTTGACTGTCAAAATACGTGAATTAGGCCACAGGTTACACAGCAGTGGGAATAGTCCAGTAAACCCACCTCAATGCTGTTGACTCTATCCGTCTCCTTTGCGCACTGCGCGTGCGAGCAGGACGGGCACACGTGTATCTGTCTTGGTTACACAGGAGTGAGAATAGTCCAGTAAACCTACCTCAATACTATTGATTCTATCCGTCTCCCTCCCGCACTGGTGTCTAGCGTCGCGTTCGAGCAAGATGAATAAACAGCACAAGCTATAGTTACAACTTTGTTTAGCAGAACCTCTAGAAACCCACCTCAATACTGCTGACTCTATCTGTCTCCCTCCCGCACTTACACGGCCCTTCACCCAGCGCCGCGTGCGAGCAGGACGGGCATACGTGTATCGTGTCCTCGCCCGCCGCCGCCGCGACCTGCCACTCGTGGGAGAGAGAGCCGCCCATATCGCCGGTTGGAGCTGACACTGAAAAAAAAAAATGAAAAAGGTTATTACACCCTACTCGAACAAAAATTGGCACTTTAAACTTGAATAAATTGCAAAAAGATCCCTAAATGGAAAAATAGTCTTAGAAACCCCTAAGCCATTTTAAAAGACCTATCCAACGATACCCCGCACGATGGGATAGAAGATGAAAAAAAAAAACATCCCCACTTTACATGTAGGGGAGCCACGCTAAAAAAATTTTTTTTTTCAACATTTTATTTCACCGTTTTGTCGGCGTGATTAATATACATACCTCCACAGAATTACAGCTCTCTAGTGCCAATAGTTTCCAAGCAAAACCTCGGACAGACAGACAGACATATCGAAACTATAAGGGTTCCTTGTCATGACAACGGAACCCTAAAAAGATGTAAACAAGTATGACGTAATAATAGATAACCGAGAGAGAACCCAAATCATCGATAGATATAGCACACTGCGTTGTAAGGATTGTAAGGTTCTGCGCAAGGGTGACTTTTTGCACCTTTTTCTCACCGTGAAAGTATAATTTTCTCTTTCAAAATCAAAAATATTTACTCAGTTTAGACCACAAGTGGCACTTATAAACGTCAAAATGTAGTAAAAAATAAAAAAGAAAAGGTAGCCCTTATGGGGCACTTTACATGTCTCCTTATCTTTTAGGCCCTACCAGTTTACCTTTTACACTTTTATAAAGAGAAAGTGACAAAAACGCCGGAAACTACAGGCTTTCTATCTGCCGATAGTTTGGTCAAAGTTTCGAATACGCGCTAGAATATCTTTAGTTCAACTCATTCGAGCAATAAAGTTTTTTCTAATCCACAATAAGGAAGCTCTTGGCCTGCATCTCATCTGATGAATGGATGTTTTTTTAGATTAGGGCCTCTCCTACACAGCGAGAGAGCGTCCTTCGATTTTTCTACACTAATACTTATTATAAAGAGGAATGATGTTTGTTTATATTAAATAAGCTCCGTAAGTACTGGAAACGATTTGAATAATTATTTCCATTAGAATCCTACATTATTTCTGATGTTCGCCGGGGCAGTTTGTACCGTAATAAATAAATATCGACGGTAGTATAGAAGAAAAAAATGTAGTAAACCTACCTACCTCTATAGACAGGCAGCTGCAGCCTCTCAAACAGTCTACTATACGCTTGAGTCATGCGCTCGTACACCGCTCGCGAGCATTCGGCGCTCGCGTGCGCGGCGTACGCGTCGAGCATCGCGAACGAACGCGCGCGGAGGAGGCCGTGTTTCGGACGCTGCTCGTCGCGGTATTTGTTGCTAATCTGCGACGAACAAAGCAGTTCGAGTTAAATAAATAAAGAAATTGAAAATGAAAATGTTTTATTTTATAAATAAAGTTGATTAACAAGATATGTATTTTGGTAACCATCCTTTTAAGTATAAGAATACCTGTAGTAGGAGGTTACCGCTCTTCCAAAAGTATTAACATACATTCTTAGTTAGTGTGTTTGTGGTGTATTGAGTGAATTTGTGTGTAGTGTTATGAAATTCTCACCTAAATTAACGCTAAGCTAAAGTATTTGTACTAAAATAGTAAGACACGGGTCTTAATCTTAACGCGAAGTTTATTATTATTGTCTTACTATTTTAGTTGAAATGGAACACGAAAGTTTAAAATCTTATAAAGTATTTGTTTTCACCAGTTGGCGCCACTAACGAATAAGGCCCTCTTACTCGCCAGTGGCGCCGACTGTTGATCACGGATAAAGATAGGTTAATTTTATACTACACTAGCTTTCCGCCCGCGGCTTCAACCGCGTGGAATTTCGTTTGTTAAATTTTCCTGAATTTTCTTTGCTATAAACCTCACGGAGCCCGAGACCTTTCCAACGAATGCAAAACCGTGGAAATCGGTTCGTGCGTTCTGGAGTTATAGCGTCAGGAAGGAAAACCCGACTTATTTTTATATAGTAATATATTGCGCCAACCTCGCCAACTTTCCCTCTCTTCAACAGATTTATTTTCTAAATGCGTGTTAATGAGGGCTATCGTTTTCACGCTCACCAGTTAGCGCCACTGTAGAGTAAGGTCCTGTCACTTGCTAGTAGCGAAGACAGTGGCACCAACTGGTGAGCACAAAAGTGGTAGGAGGCCTATCGCATTTGCACTCATCAAGATGGCGCCACTGTAGAGTAAGGTCCTGTCAATCGCCAGGGGTGCCAACTGTTAAGTATAAAAACGATAGCCCTCATTATTGTGGATTATTCATCATATTTTTAATCTTTATTGAAAAAAAAAACTGAGCAATGGGCTGTATGGCGCACTATGCCTTTGCAAAAGGAATAGTAAAGAAAAAGTAAACCAAAAAAATGCAGCTCTTTTGGAGGGTAGAATAAAATGATTTCACGTAAAATAGATCGCTAAATAATCGACGACCCGAACTTATAAAACGTTCGTGTGCGTCCACGCGCACTGTGAGACCTCATAGTAATGTTTGTGAATACGGGCGTTATTCTGTGACTAGCTTTCCGCCCGCGGCTTCGCCCGCGTGGAATTTTGTCTGTCACAGAAAAACTTTATCGCGCGCGTCCCTGTTTCAAAAACCGGGATAAAAACTATCCTATGTTCTTTCCCGGGACTCAAACTATCTCTATGCCAAATTTCATCAAAATCGGTTGCGAGGTTTAAGCGGGAAAGCGTAACAGACAGACAGACAGACAGACAGACAGACAGACAGACAGACAGACAGACAGAGTTACTTTCGCATTTATAATATTAGTTGGGATATAGTTGGGATGAAACGTTCGCGGGTGAAGCTGCAGTCAAAAGTAAGTAAATAATGTGTCTTACTTGATACAAAACTAGTGGCAGTTGCTTGTACGACACAGGCCCGACGTCGGCTAAGAGATCAGCTATCGCTTCCTCGTGTGTCTGAAATTAAAGAATTCATATTTGTTAAGTAGGTATGTACTACCAACAAATTTTATTTTGAGTCAAAAACGTGCAAATAACAAGAATTATGCAATAATTTTACAGATAACCATAATGTCAATATTAAGACCCCTTAGGTAGACTATAGATTTTTAGCTAACGATAGTTTAGTGGTGCAGTTAATAAATATTAGCAATTTCAAATTAGAAGTTGACCAAACCATCGGCCAGTCAGTCTTATTTATTTATTCAAAACAGTACTACCTACTAATTTTATGAGGTCATCTGTCCACCTAGTGGGTGGTTGGGGCATCAAGGTTCTGGAGTGGAGGCCACGTACCGGAAAACACAGCATGACATATTTTACAAGGTAGAATTTTTCAATAAATATGTAAAAATACCTACCGGTGCCAGCAAATACTCCTTCTTATGCCTATCTTTAACCGTCAACAGCTCAGATCCAACGTCCTCAAGCCTGCCCGTCTTCTCCCACAGGTGGGCAGCGGTCAGCGAAGGCAGCGTCACTCTCTGAGCACCGGCTGCCTCTACGCACTGCCGTACGATGGTCTCCAGCTTGTCTAGGGCTCTCCGGGCCAGTGGCAGGAGTGCGAAGAGACCGGAGCTCGTGGGACGGACTAGACCACATTCTAGAAGAAGCTGGAAGGTAAGATATCTAATATTATGCTCACTTTTTTCGGTATTTATAAAATCTAATTGAAAAAACAACTTATGGGGTCAACTGTAGCCTATACAAGTAAATAAATTGGTACCAATGGTAGAAATATTGATGTAAATATTAATATGAAAGACAATAAATGTTTATGATTAATAATCACACAGAAATGAAATAAAGTATATTAAATTAGATTTTAGCAAGACAACTGTGTTTGTTTAAAAAGTACTTTTTAATAAGTTATTAAATGCCTCATGAGTAATTAAATGTACTAGAGACACAGGGCAATGTATATTTATGGCAAACTACAACCGTTCATGAGTTTAAAATAAGTATTTTCACGTTGTTTACATAATTTTTGTGTTACAAAAAATCTAACTTACTTTTTGACTTTTGCAAGTGATTTCTGTGTTTTTGATTTTCGCATTCTTCGGTATAGTGATCACTGGCTGAAATATCTGAGACACATATCGCATTTTGTTGGAAACTGTGTTTTATGTGATAAAATAATAATTTTACAGAATAACACACAGAAACTTTGAGGTTAGATGTCACTGTCACCTAACAGCTGATTTTGACTTACTACGTTTCGTTCCAAAACTTGTTCAAAAGTCGATGCTGACGCATAAAGCGTTTCGTTTATTAGTTATAATAGTTTGTATATATGTTACGGCTAAAGATAGGTGTGAACATAAACTTAAGATTAGCCGGCTAAACTTAAGTTTATCTTCGACGAGGTGTTAATGTTAGTTTCTTCTATCTTTAGCCGGCTAAACTTAAGTGTAACCGCAGGCCCTTGGCTAAAAATGTAGAAGTAGGTAAATGGAAAAGGAAACAATGTAATAATGTTTACTATTTCAACACGAAAACTTACTTTTATGTGCCTATGTAGGTATTCAAAATTACAATTATTACAATAACAAAATATTAATTACTTAAAACAATATCTAACTAATCATTAAACTAAAATATTTGGTCATTACAGAATCTTCTGTAGGTATTTAAAATTACAAAATAAAACAAAATAAAACTGCGCGCGCGTTGTCTCCCCACCGCCCCCTCAAGCCCTCCGCCGGCCTGGCGCGCCCATCGAATACATTTTTAGCCGTTTCGTTTTGGCTAATGTGCACATTAGCCGGCTAAAGATGGAATATAACGACGCAAACTAACATGTTATCGAACTTTAGCTGCTTCTCGAAGATAAACTTAAGTTTAGCCGGCTAATCTTAAGTTTATGTTCACAACTATCTTTAGCCGTAACATATATACTTTTACTTACACTCGTCATGATGGGAGCAAATGAGCAATTTTTTTATTCTCAATTTCATTGAATGAAGTGGATGACACTCACTTATTTTCCGGAATCAGCACTTCTACATAGCCACGATAGTCGAACGATGAAGGAGTCGGACTGGCCGACTCGAGATCGAATCCCACCACCGGCACCGCTTGACTATTGTGGTGAGCCCACTCGTAACACAAGCATAATATTTAGTTAGCTTACCACGAGGGGCTAACGGAGCTTAACAACTTTTTCGTAGGACAAACTCGGCTTTCACTGGCTAATTTGAATTTGAATTAATTTTTGTTGGCGGTCAAATAGTAACTTACTATTAGTAAGTAAAGTAGACCTTGGCTACACAGGAGTTTAAGCCTAGGCGCAGACCATCGATTTTTCGTCGGTCGATAGTTTAATCGGGCAGTTGATCAGTATGGGCAATATGGGCATGTATGGAAGTGCGCACATTACGATTCGATTTGGCCGATTCTTCATACAAATTAAAATCGGGCCCAACTATCGGCCAACTAAAAATCGGTGGTCTCAGCCTAGTCTAAGTGTTGTGAACGAGAGGTGGTGGGAATCCTTACGCCCGCTTCTGCACTTCCTAAACCTAACTGGAGGTTACAATCACACCCCACCAGGGTCAGTCAATCTGTTTCCAAGTCATTAAGTCCATTTAGATTCAGAGCAAAAAGGCGTCAAAGTTACTACACAAAGGCAACCGGTGTCATCGCCGAATCACGTCCAGTGCGATATTGAACCTTTCTCCCTGGATTTAAGGGCTCCAAGTTCATAATACGATGACGTCATCGTTTCATGCCGTTAACTCGCTGATAAGTTAATAGAAAAGCGCATCGCTTGTGTGAGAGGCGGGCACAGCCATGAGCGGAGCGGGAAGCTTGATTAAAAATCCTGTGTTACTTCAATTAAGACATCTTCAACAATTTTAACCCTTGCACAACACCTGATGTCATCATTATTTCAGCCATAGGACGTCCACACAGCTGAACATAGGCCTCCCCCAATGATTTCCATAATGACCGGTTGGTACTTATATGACGTCGTCGGTCACCAATGTGGCCCATACCATATATTTTTTCTTTCTTTAGATATTGTGGTAGGGTTCAAATTATGTAGAGAAAAACTCACCGTTAAAGATTTTTGTTAATTTTAAAACACCACGTTGGGCGCCAGTTTGAATAAAGTCCGAGCAGTGTTGGGCAGTGCTATAATAGTAAAAATACTGTTTTAAACAAACTTCGTTCGAGACATGAACTACTCAGTAGTACACATTTATGCATAGATTCAAGCCTGTGATTGGTTGATTTTCAATAAACTCAGGCTGGACAGAAGTTTTAAGTAAGATTTATTATAGTGCCTACCCCTTATTAAGTTCGCCTTTTGTCTACGTATCACGTTAATAATTCTACTAAACAAAACTTAATTTATTCCCGCTTCTCAGTTTACTCTGTTCAATCCCGCCCAGTTATCAGCTTCACACGCCATTTCCCGCGTTTTGTCGCGCCGCAAAATGGCCGTCGGAAAATGGCGGGAACAAAACCGGATAATTATAGAGTTAATTATCTGATAAAGCGGTCGAAAGGAAAGGTCGCCATTGAATTTTCACAGCTTCCGGTCATGCTGTTTTGTTGCGGTGTAAAGATAAAAAATAACATGATACCTAAATATAATATTTTTGATAGTTTTTGTTCCTACTACAGGAGCTAAGTAATTAAGGCTGGGTTGCACTATCTTACTTTAACTTTAACAAAAAATCTGTCAACCTCCATACGAAAAGCACCGGTTATCGTTAGTTACCGTTAAATTTTGATGGTGCAACTCAGCCTAAAAAACTACAGAGGATAGAATGTCTGATACCTACCCTGACGCGCAGTTGCTGTAATTTAACTGCTCTTAAAGTTCTTTTTCTTAAAGGTACTGGTAGTTCTTATATCTTTAGATGGAAGTTTGGCAACAGCCTAATCATCGTCATCATTTCAGCCACAGGACGTCCACTGCTGAACATAATGCTTCCCCCAATGATTTCCATGTTGACCGTTTGGTAGCAGCCTGCGTCCAGCACCTAACCTTTATGATTTATTTTACAACAGCCTAACTAATAGATAAACAAATATTATAAATAAGAGTAACACTCAAAACATACCTATTGTGGAACATTAAACTAGAGAGGCGGTTCAGGTTGTCATATCGTTCGTTTCAGCCAAATGACGTCCACTGCTGGACAGAGGCCTCCCCCAAGGTTTTCCACAATGAACGGTCCTGCGCTGCCCGCATCCAGGCTCTTCCCGCGACCTTTACCAGATCGTCGGTCCACCTAGTAGGAGGCCTGCCCACGCTACGTCTTCCAGCCCGTCATATACCTACCAAAACTTTTTTCAGAATTTCTCAAGAAAGCATGTCACGATTTTATTTTGGTAGCTAGTTAGTTATTTTTTTTGGGACATGAGGCAAACGAGCAGACGGATCACTTGCTCTTCAAACTAATGCCTCATCCTTAAGAAAAATGCCTCAATTACTCACGGATTTCCTTCATCCGGCTGTTTTTCTTCGCAACCTATTTAATTACACTACAATCCCGTAATTTCCCATAATCCTGCCCGCACAGGTGGCCTGTCCGTCAGGACTGGATGATTTGTTACACGCCTGACGGAGCATTAATCTACTCGGATTGTAGCTGCTTGGGCTTAAAACGCACGTTAGGCCACTAGCAGACAGACTATGGTAGGTAACCACTTGACAGGCTGTGCTAAACTGAGTTACTTAAGTAACGCCCGTATTCACAAACATTACTATGAGGTCTCCCAGTGGATTAACTACTAATGTTTGGCCAAAAAACGTTTCCCAAATTATCATTTGACAAAACAACTTATTGCAAACTTTTAATTCGCAAATGTCGTTTTTGGCATATTGTTTAGTAAATTATTGTTTGGCAAAGTATGTTTTACCAAATGTTTCATTTGGCAAAAATATTTCACGATAAACTATTTACAAAATAATTTTATTGGTGCATAGAATGGAATACAAATTAGCTTGTGGTTATTATTTTGTTTAGTGGGTAGTTACTTAATATAAAATTTGTTCTAAATTAATTTTCATATTTCATTATTTTTATCGAAATAAGTTATTTGCGAAGTGAAATTTGGCGAATAGTAATTTGGCCAAACGGAAGGATACGGAAGGATCTCCCAGTGCGTGGTTTATTCCCAACGACCACCACTAAAATAAACCCAGTGCGCGTGACGCACAGGGTGACACGCGAACCAATCACAGAGCTTTATTCAAAGCTGTGCGTTCGATTTGCTGCTTCACTTAAGCAAGCGTCATTTGTGAGTACGGGCGTCAGTTAGCTGTAGCTATTGCTACACTGGTTTAAAATGACTTTTCCATACTAATGCTTATTTTAACCGTGACTATGACGATAACCGGTGCTTTTTGTATGGAGTTTGACAGATTTTTTGTTTGTCAAAGTTAAAGTAGTTAAGATGGTGCAACCCAGCCTAACGCCCGTATTCACAAACATTACTATGAGGTCTCACAGTGCGCGTGGACGCACAGGGTGACACGCGAACCAATCACAGAGCTTTATTCAACGCTGTGCGTTTGATTTGCTGCTTCGCTTAAGCAAGCATCATTTCAATACGGGCGTAAGTTAGCTGTTAGGTGACTAGGTAATTTATTGAAAAATACCTTCTATCTAAAACTCAAGTTAAACCCGGGATGAATACTGGTTTAAAATTATATTTCCATACTAATGCTTATTTTAACCGTGACTATAACGATAACCGGTGCTTTTTGTATGGAGTTGACGGATTTTACAATTGTCAAAGTTAAAGTAAGATGGTGCAAGCCGGCCTAAGTATTTTTAATGTTTAAGTTAAGGTTGCCTTGCTAACTTGACAGGCTGTGTTAAAACTGAGTTAAAATAACGCCCGTATTCACAATCATTACTATGAGGTCTCCCAGTGCGTGGTTTATTAAAATATGCGTGTATAGTTTTAAGTCCCTTTGTTCTGTTTTTTATTTTTTTCCTTTTTTGTGTCAAATAAAGTTTTTCTTATCTTATCTTATCTTATCTTATTCCCAACGACTACCACTAAAATAAACCCAGTGCGCGTGGACGCACAGGGTGACACGCGAACCAATCACAGAGCTTTATTCAACGCTGTGCGTTCGATTTGCTGCTTCACTTAAGCAAGCATAATTTGTGAATACGGGCGTAAGTTAGCTGATTAGGTAATTTATTGAAAAATACCTTCTATCTAAAACTCAAGCTAAACCCGAGACGAATACTGGTTTAAAATGACATTTCCATACTAATGCTTATTTTA